GTGCTGAGTGTCTTTGTTGCAGGATTCTATTCATGGATGGGCAGAAATTACATATTCATATGAAGTGAGGCTTTTTCTGATGGGTCTCAAGTGCCTCATTTGCATTATCCTTTCAGGGCTTTCCTTTTGGGAGTGCAGCGACATCAATTTGTACCCTATCCCCCTCAATGGAACTCAATGGAACTTTTGGAGCCTATCCAATCAATCCTTTCTGTTTACGCTGCACATTTGAGACCCTAAAGATTTGAATTTTATGTCCAGCAGAAAAGGCGGAAGGAACCACTTACAATGCCAGAAATTGACTGGGTTCTTGGACCGTTTTGTGGTCAAACAATGAGCGGAAGAACGCACATAAAGTGCCAAGAGTTATGGCCACAGAAACCCGAAAAAGGGAAGAAGAATGGAATGGATTTCAATGAGAATAGGCAGCCGGCTAATATCCTTTGAGTGACCGACCGACTCCCTCTCTAGAGACAAGATCTAAGAAATAGTCAAGCTGCGTGTCGTGTCGGGGCAGCCTCATTAAACGGTATTTTTGTTGCCCATCGTATCTGAAAGATGCATCTTGTTATCTTGTCAAGAGATTTCTGTGTTCTGTGTGTGAGAGGGTGTGGTGTGCTGGCGACAATTTTGCGTCATTTGCGGTTGCGACCAGGGGCCAGGAGAAAGAAAGAGATACGACATGAACCCATCCATCCAGCCATCCAACCAACCATCTAGCCAACCATCCATCCATACCAACAAAAGGCGCCTTTGTTTGGATCCTCAACAGCAGCCGTTGTCGTCGTCGTCATCATCGGTTGAAGTACGAGCGAGTATCTCGTATCTTGAATGTCTCTTGCAGCTTGCATGTGTGTCGCCTCCGCTGCTCCTGTGAGTGGCGGGTGGGGGGGCACCCTAATGTGCTTCTAATGGTGGTGGACACAACCGCATGAATATCCATCTATTGTTCCTCCAATGAACAGCATTGTCTTGCTTGCAGTAGGATAGTAGCGTGGCGTGGGATAGTGAGTAGTAAGTAGTGGTACCCCGTTCTTTAGCATTGATTAACTACAGTATGTAAAATATACATATGTACGAGTGTATAGAGCGTATAGCCCACAGATTGCACAACAATTGCATTATCAGAAACTATTACTTTGTGCTTGGGGATCGATCTAGAGGTCTCTGGAAATGGAAGTGGAAGTGTGGATGTGTGGAAGTGTTGGAGTGCGTTAATCTCAATCGCGGTTCAACGTGAACCTAATTGAAATTGTTCACCCTAAAAATTGATGTCGCCAGAGATCAGGGAATGCTCTGGCTGATGCTCTGACGATGTTCTTCCCTCTGTTACAGGACAAAAGTTCAGTTTTAACAAATTATAATCTCAAAGCAAAGCTCTCTCTACCTCTCTTTCTCTTGCCACACAAGACATTATTTAAACAGCAATTTTGCATGCTCTTTTTGGTTGATAAGACCAGCCACAGACGTCTGTTTATTTTCAACATCTATCTATTATATACAAAATATCTGGCATATACATATATATGTTCAATGTACATATGTACTAAGTATTAAAGTGCTATTTATTCGTTAATTAGAAGCGTGTGGAATATTTCTTTTTAGTATGTTTTCTATTCCCGTTTTTGTTTACATTTTTGGCTTGGAAATTGACAGCAAACAAACAGACACTCGACTGACAGATTAGCTGGTAGAGGGGATCTCTCCGGAAAGCACTCTCTGACTCTGATGTTCCGATGAACGGACCTACATACATACTGTACATATGTACAGTCTCTGCCTAAAAGCAGGTCAATTGACCTCGTCTCTGGACTCTCGCTATGGCTCTGTTTTAAATGGCGCTTATCAGCCTCATTCAAAGAAACAAAATGCTTCTTATCAACCGACTGTCTGCAACAACACTGTGTCTATATATATATACATATATACGATTAAATATACTATACACGGAGAGGCAAAAGATGAAAAAAGCTTCTGAAGCGGAACAGATGAAAATGATACCATTCCTCCCGCTTTTTTGTAGCAATGGAATTCATATTTCTGAAAATGAACTGAAAAATATTGTTTTTCTTGCCAGCGAATGATGATTTTTGTTTTCATTTTTCAACTTACGCCAAAGAAGATTGCCGATTGAAATTTGTTCTTTCAAGTTGATTATGGAATGACTTTGTAGAGCATAAATAGAGGCATCATTTAAGCAGATAGTTGATCAAAATACGAAGAGGAACACTTTACCCAGAGTGCAGAGCTAAGTCCTGAAAAGTTGCAAATACATCAGAAGATCGATCAGGAAATGTTTATAAAGATTCAAAAGAAGAAAAACTTGGGTGCGATCAGGTTTCAAATTAGTTACAACAGTTCAGCAGATCAGAAAGATCCTTTGGGTGAGAACCGAAGGTCATTCTCATTTACTTGGTCAATTTGTGATAATACCAAAACCAGATACAGATACAAATACAGCCACAGCTACCGATGGACACTGTCCGATGCATCATTAATTATCGCCCTAATCCATCAGCATCCGTCAGCAGCCGAAGCCTTTCGGTGTCTCACCTTTGCCTCCTTATTCCCTATTCGGAGGAGGCAGCAACTTTCTCACACTCGGCAGGAGCCTGGATATTAATTAACCATGCCAAAATAGCGAAACTGACCATTAACACTGAGACAGACTCGTCCAGAGACCCAGAGAACTGTCCATTATCTCTCTAATAAGCGAAAACACACGCGTTGTGCGAGTATCCTGTAAGGGGATTCTTTTCCTGGCTCGTCAGAATATTTCATAATTTCCACTGACCAATGTCCAGTTTTCGAGCAACCCCTTCGCCCAGCTTGAGATTTCTTGGCGAGAATCCTTTCTTCTCTTTGCTTAAGCCCTTTGTTTTTCTCGGCATTGTGTCCTGCAAAGGCCCTTTGCATAATCAATAATCCTTGACGCTGACGACCAGCGCGCTGGCCCAGCGCCCATTGTCGCGCTGACCGAAGGAACCAACACGTCTGAAAAGATAAATTATGGTTTGTAGTCAAATTGAAGGCAAACAATCCCCGCAGACAAGGACCCCTGCACCCAGGGAATGCAATGGGTTGGAAAGGGAGTCGAGAGTGGAGTGGGGTGGGGTGGGGTTGGTCATTTGATAACCCTGAAGACAGCTGGCTCTGTGCTAATGCTGGAACTGGACGATGGTCAGAAAGGATTTCGTTTCTGTTCTGTGCCTCTAAGGAAAGTTTGTTTTGCTCTATGAATTTATGTTTTAATTTGATTGAAGTCTAGAGAGAGTTTCTTGGAGTTTGGAAGATATTGAATATGTGTTAGTCTAAGGATTGAACTGACCATAACTGACTATGGTTTGAAACAAAGATTGACTCCTTAGGACACATACTTCCCAATTAAATGTAATTCTACATTAATCCATAGTAAGGCAACATTCAGGACATGATTTGTACACATATTGATTTAGGTTGAAATCTATATATCTTGCTAGTGGGTAACTTTTCGGGGATTAACCCAAAATACCATCTCTCAATCAATCTCATAGCTCATATTCCGAAGTAAATCTTGAGCTATGCAAATGCTTTCTTAGGGACAGAATTGATAAGGAAAAAAGGGAAAGAATAAATTAATATTGCAGATTTCCCATAAGTTTAACCAAAGGTTATCTTACTTTCACGCATTCCTCCCAATCAATTGCTAACCAAATTCCACCCCCATTGCATCCTCACCTTTTGCACAATGCAAACACAATTATAGTTTTATTCAAATATCAGACATCGTCAGCTATATGGCTATAAGAAAGTGAGAGAGAATGAAACAATCTACGATAACTGGGGGGGATCCAGACAGTAGTTGACCTTTTGAAATCGTGTTGCAATGGCCAAAAGTCTTAAGACAAACGACCAGCTGTGCAAATGTCAAGACGTAAGTGTCAAAATGCTCATTAATAACGTCATCCTTAACGGCCACGTGAGTGTGTCCCTGAAGATAGGGATACGCGCCAGGATATCCGTGGGATGGGCAAAGCAAACAGCCAGGAGGAAATCGATGAGAATGCAAAAACGAAAGTACGGCTAAGCCGTCAAAGCGGACTCCTGGACAATGGCCAAAGTTCGTCAAAGGATGTTTGCGCAAGTAAACATTGAAAGTATATAGTTTCAGGATAGAGCCAGGAAGAAGGATGTCCAGGCTGAGGTGTATCTGTGTATCTGTGTCCCATGTGTACGAAGCAGTGTTAAATTGAAAAATTATGATAAATAGCATAATGGGATGGATAGAAGTTGCACAACAACCTAGCAAACATCCCACAGAGAGACACGAGAGTGAGTCGAGTCTTAGGATATGCAAAAGGATATTAATACCCGTGCAGGGGACCCGCCTCGGAATGGGTTTGGGGTTGGGGTTGAGGTTGAGGTTGAGCCCACAGACAATCCAGCGACCAGCAACGCGGCGCGTCGAGTGAGTGTTGCTAAAGTGTGCAACGGGCCATAAGGGAAAGACAAGACAAGACCCATTCGCCATGGGATATCATTTACGAGGCTGTGTGTCGTTTGACCGGACTAAAGGACTAAAGGACTCCTGGACCCTAACTCTAACTCTAACCCCTTCTTCCAGCTTCCTCCATGGACCAACCATGGATCGACCACGGGTTCTGCCTTTGTGTTTATCTTCCTGGCAATAGTTCACATGAGCTTATCTCCTTTGACGCACATCCTTTCCCTGGAATGTTTGCGAAAAAAGTTTGCCAATTGCCCGGGGGGTGGTGAGTCCTTCAAAGGGGTAAGGACACGGACACGGACACTCTATACTGCTCTCCATATTGACAATTGTCGTAACTTTGGCTGTGGCTTAAACTGGTGGGATATTCACGGCTTAGTCGTGTAATGTCCTCTGTCTTTATGGCATTCCCCGGGAGCGTGGAGCGCGTAAATTACTAAGCCAAGATATTGGACACACGTTGAAGGCCATTACTTTTGTCTTTCATGGTTAAAGGAAAATGACAGGCGAATAGTACGAGTACGAGTACGATTATATGGGCAATATTTGGACACAAAATAAATACTATGCTTCGGGATTGTAGCCGCACTTGGCCCGCCACTCCTGCTCCTCTATTTGCTTGAGCATCTTTCTGTTGGCCGGTGAATCTATGATGCATAGATTGCCGCAGGGCAGCTCCTCCCCCACCTGATCCAGCTGATCCAGGCGATCGTAGATGATGCCCACCACCCCATGCTTCTTCGTTATATTGCGCACCCGAATGTCCGCGTTGACGCTGCCCCAGACGAGAGCCTGGAGGTGCAGCTGCTGGAGCCGGGGCCCGATTTCCGGCCGCTGCAGCACCGTATTGGTGTGCATGGCCAGGCCGAAGAACTCCAAGCTGTGGGCCAGGTGGGCGGCATGGTCCAGGACACTGACGCGCTTGTCCAAATACTGGACGGGGCACTCGGGATTCGCGGTGAGCAGCACCACCGGATAGAGGTTCTGCTTGAGGCGCACCATCGTGCAGATATCCGCATCGAAGCAGGAGAACAAGATGCGTCTGCTGCCGGCACGCTGCAGGACAATCTCCAGAATGGTGTCCACGTACACATTCCGGTCGAAGGTGGGCTTGAAGCACTCGTCCTCCCAGCGCCGGGTGCTGTCCAGCTGCGGGAACTTGATCTCGATGTTGAAGCCAAGAGTCTGCGGCAGCAGGTCCTCCTCCTTCTCGAACAAGTCCAGCAGCAGGGGGAAGGGCCGCTGCTCGTGCAGCATGCGATCGCAGGGCACCTCGTAGCCCTTGTTGGCGGCAAAGCGCAGGACCCGCACCAGGGTCAACTGGTCGTAGGTGAACGCCTCGAAGGGCACGGCAATGTGGTTGGTCCGCTTGCATCCGCCCATCGCCAAGAGCTTCAGGCGATTGAGCTTCTCGAAGGGAAAGACCAGCAGGTCGCAGCTGGCGAGCAGCTCCTCGTAGCTCGCACAGCGCTGCAGGAGGAACTTCATCACAAAGTCGTGGTAGACAACCACTTGGGCGTCCTTTGTGAGCTGCACATCGAACTCCACCATGTCGGCATTGGCCACAGCGGCCTGCTTGAACCCATACAGCGTGTTCTCCCGCACCAGATTCTCCCCGAGGCAGTAGGTTGTGCCCGAGCCTCGATGGCCAATGTCCATCGGCAGGCGATTGCGGCGCCAGTAGCGCTCGTAAGTCCTCCGCATATCGCACTTGAAGTTCTCCAGGGGCCGGATGATCAGGTAGCGCAGGCACATCTCGATCAGGGGTCGGTGGGTGGAGGCGCAGATGATGGAGACGACCACATGCCCCTCGCTGTCCACCAGCTGGTCCGCATTCACGAAGCCATAGCCGTAGTGGTAGGGCGGCTCGTCGGGGCCCGACTTGTGGGCAAAGGTGTAGAGATCCAGGCGGTAGTGCGTCTCCTGCGGATTGCCAATGGAGCAGTGGTAGAGCTGCATGTCCTCCGGGCCGCAGCAGACGCCGTGGTACGGCTGGAAGCGGAGCTTCTTCGGGTGGCGCAGGTTGGCCACCTCTGTGTAGGCCAGACGGAGACTCTGGTCGATCTCCTCGGCAGCCGCGGACCCGGATTGACGGCTGAGCAGGGTGAGACGCTTGAGTGTGCGGACAGGAACCTTTTCCGCATCCGGGCAGAACTGTTCCTTCTCGAACATCGGCTGGATGTGGACGTAGAGCAGACGGGGCGACTGCTGCTGCCAGAGGAACGGCGCGTTGAAGATCTTGAAGTGGATGTAGGTCTCGCTGGTGGCCCATCCCCGATCCACCAGACATTCGGTGTCGGTCTCGTTGCGATAGCCAAAGCGATCGCAGTCCTTCAGCATGTTCTGGCAGGTGCGGATGACACGCGACTCCAGGCGGGACTCCCAGAAGCGTATGAAGTTCTGGCCCGTCTCCCCATCGGGGACGACCACACAGAAGCGATAGTGGATGTCGATGTTCCGTGGAATGATCACAGTCGCCTCGAACCTCTGCTGGCAGTGGCCGGTCTTCGCCACGAATCTGTTCTCGCAGGAGCAGTCATTCTTGTCCATCACGACCACCTTCTGGGGATCCCAGTCGCCCAGAGATTCACAGTTGCCGGTGATGGCCAGGTACTCGTTGCCCTGCAGCGGCCGGGGATACAACACGCAGAAGGGCCACTCTGTGGTGCGAACGGGAGGTGCCACCGACTCCTCCTTGGCATCTTCTTCCACCTGGTTGTCTTCCTCGCGGGCCTTTGCCTCCTCGTCGCACTCCTCGCGCTCATTGGCAAAGAACCAGCGATGCATGATCCTTGAGTATACGAGTATTAAACTCTTTTGAGCAGAACTCTTGCAACAGAAATTTCGATGTCTTTCAGAGGATATTCTCAATAAAATCAAAAATTGTAATGTATAACTTTTCGAGATGCTCGTAATCATTACAGAAAAAAATATCAACGCCCCCCAGCTATGTTTTTGATATTCTGTAGTTGTCAAAGCACATCGTTAAATATCCTCCAAGTAGAAGGACCAAGAACACACAGAACTTTCCCACCAAATCGTTGAGCATCCTGCCATACCATTTCCCTGCAGGAAGTGATCTTTTGATCCGGAAACTATAAACTGTGCTGCACACAAACCGTAGAAATCTCTGTGTCAGGCAAATGGCACGCAAGCCCTGTTCGGTTCCCCTCCCCGTCGAAACACTGAAACGAACCACCTGCGACAGGATCAAGCGACATGCCAGGAACTTAAAACATAGGGGTGAACCTCCTATACCACATATATCGACTAAGGGTGAACCTCCTCCTCCATTGATTAGGGGCGAAATTAGGCATAGTTTGTGTCGGGGGAAAAAACATAATTAGTGTTTACTTGAAAATTAAATTATAATTGTAGCAGCGCACAAAAAACTCTTATGGGAAAAACTGTGAGAAAATTAAAAACGAAATTCCCGATTCCAAATATAGAAATTTATTTAAATGTCTCCCTTTTTCGGGTCCAGTGACAGTTGTCAGTGAAACCATTTCGAACACTTCCCAACCAATCTTTGGGGTAGCTCTCACCTTCCTTGAGTCTCAGCTACACTTCCGTGGCTTCTTTGGGACTTTGGGGCGATCTCAAGTTACCCGCTGGTTAATCCGCTTGTTGACTAAACAAACAAGCCCGAAAAGGGGTGATTTGTGCATAGGGAGTTGAGTCTGGCACTGGATGGATTTCTCTGCGGAGGGATCCACAAATTTATGCGCGTCAACAGCGATTAGGCAGCAAACGATGCCAAACAAACCCCAAAACAGATCTGACACATGCCAGAGGAGAACCGAACTGCAGATGCTGCTGTTTGTTAATTTATTTGGAAAGGCAATGATCTGATATGAGGGAAATAAATAAGTTACCTTTAAAAAATACGCAATTGCCCCTTTTACAGCCCTTTTTTATTATTAATCGCAGTCCTTTCGCAGTGGATTCTTCAGTCATGAGGAAGTCTTAACTAATATTTGGTTTAACCTCCTCCAACCCTTTTTTTGCTGTTGACAAAACTCAACCACACGCCTGCCTGTCGCAAGCGGACTCTTGACTTCGCTTACCCGCAGCTCCTCTGACACAGCATAAAATTGTAGACACATGTCTGCCTAAACCGCAGAACGAGTGCCAAAAGTGCTGTCCACCAGCCATGTCCATGTCCATGCCCACGACCATGTCCATGTCGATGTCCTATGTCCACAAAAAATTCAGGCAGCTGTAAATGAAATGGAAACCGAAACCGAAGCCGAAACCGTTGCGTCTGCGCAGAACAGGGCAGCATATCCTTCCTGACAGACAGCAGGTAGTGCCCTCGGCTCCTTCCGTTTTTTGGGTTTTCTGCACTTGACTTGGTTTTGTGTTTGTGTGTTGTTTGGACTGTGGTCGAGATTTCCGTGGGTGTGGCAAGGTTGCAGTTGGTTGCCGGTGCACAATTAAGCAGCCAGCCAGAGAAAACAAAGCCAAACCGCAGCATGTGCCCCAGGTAGAGGCAGAGATCAACTGTCAACTGTCTGTCTGTCTGCTGCAGCAGCAGCAATTGCTTGGGGCACTTCCTGCGCTGTTCCATCGCCGAATAGAACACGGCAGAGGAAACTCAATACAAAATCCTAATTAAGCATAAAGAGACTAATTTTCCCGCTGTCTCACAACCCCCCAATGTGTGTGGGAAAATCAAATTGGAAATTTGTTAAACTCGCATGGGCTCCCCGGTGGATTATCCATTCGCTTTTCTCTCGCGGTCTTCAAATTACCGTCGCTCACAGCAGTACTGAGGGCTGTGCACAGGCGCAGAAAAGAAAAAAGACGGGGAAATATCACGAGTTCGAGTGCGAGTGCGAGTACGAGTACTGTGGAAAATGCAGTTTTCCTTTGGCTTTGTTCGTCGTGTAGTTGAATATCCTTGGGAAAGACATTGTTTGGAGTCTTGTGTGTGCGGTGGGTAAATAATATTTACGTGATCTTTGGAGCAGTCCGATTTCCTGGTGGATATCCTCGGGCAAATACGGATGCAGGATACAGGTTAGGCAGGATATCCACTGGAATAAACAGGTGTGCAAGGAGAAATTTCCCATGATGACAAAAGGGGAAAGGGTGGGTAACCGTAATCCCCAATCCGTGGCCCCCCTCCGAAGCCGTAAACAATATGTCAATAAATCATCCCATCGGCCGGCACTTGCATGTCATCCACTCCTCGCTACTCCGCTCTGCTGGATGGAAATCAATAGCCGGAAAATGGTTTTCCAAATCCAACACCGAAAACACCAGAAATCACAAATTAGCTACACGACAACGAGTGTGAGAACAAAACCCCGACATCGACAGCGACAGCGACAATATTTAAATACCAAAGAGCGACACATCAACGACATCAACGACATCCACGACACATGGAGCAGTCCTCGTCCTCGGGTTGGGCTCCGGCTTCGGGGTACTCAACCTTATTGTAACATCTGGACAAGTATTAAAAAAACAATAAGAAAAACGTCTCCCTAACCAAAATGTGACATGCACTGCGCCAGGATCTCGACTCAGCCATGGAATATTACAATTTATGGGCGATTCTACAAATATTTAGCCAGAAGCTGGCGGGGGAAAAGACGTGTCTTAAGCAAACCCAATGGAATTTGTTACAGGGACTAAAAAATAAGAAAGAATGCTGATATTTCCGTGAGAAGTGACACAGGATGTGGGGATATGAAAAAGGGAATGCAAAGGGGAGCTCGAGTACCTCAAGAATTTGAATATTACTTTGGGGATATCGCCACAGACCTAAGAGAATCCTTCTGCTATCGCTGCTGGTTCTTTCTGCTGATTTATTTACGATTTTTACGAGCTGAGATCTGAAATCCGAATCCTCAACGGCGACTATCTGTTTGGCCTGCTCCAATTCTAATTCGAGTTCCATCGATAAGCCCAGCCCCTTTATCGCCATTGAAAATTGAGCAGTTCGAAGATGTTATTTATGAGTCCAGGGTCCAAGATAAGCCCCTGGAGATTATGTGCGAGTGGCCGTAACCAAGCCAAAGCCAAGACCAACTCAAATTTCACATAAAGTGGCCTGTCAGAGACGAAGGGACAACAACGAACCGCACCGCACCGCACCCTTCTTCCCGTCAAGTTATGACTCAATAATACTTTCAATATTTATATCAATTGTTATTAAATATTATCGGTGGGACAGAAACAACCCCAACTTCGATTTGGAACCCTTTTCTCCCTCTCTGGAAATTGGAAACCGCAGAAGGCAATCAAAGCCCTGAGAATTGTTGGGTTTCAGCAATTAAACGAGGGTGATTATACCCAAGTGTTAAGTAACCAGGTTCCGGTCGAGTAGAGCTTCTGTGCTGGACTGTGCTGTGCTGTGCTGGGCTGTGGCGACCCAAGTGTTCAGCGGTCACTGAGAGTCTCCGATTTGCATTCGATTAAGATTCGTTTCACTAAGGGAAGTAGTTAAAGAAATCGTACATATATCTGGCAGTGCTGGATGCCGGATGTGCCGCAGTGACATTTGCATAATGGAGCGAAGGGGAATGCACAGATGTCCCACATGGCCCACAAGCAACAGCAAACGGAACCACTTTTAACTACTAACTACTTACCAGAATATATGTACGAGTATCTTTAGGTTCCCACCTGCACGGAATGGGACTCAGCGGCAGAACATCTCGACCCAGATGCACTACAATCAACTACAACTATTATCATGGCAAATATTTGCTTGGAGATAAACTCGGTTTACATTCCGCTCTCTGAGACAACCAGAGGGGCAACTATTCATAGTTCTAAAATTAGTTGTTGACTTATTACTGCATTACGCATACCTCGCACTTCCTTCGGCCCTACTCCACTCCTCAACAGAGTTCATTCATAAAATTAGATCTTGCATCGCTCGGATCTGTACAGTACAGATACGAGAGTATCTCTGAGATATTTGCCGCTAAATGTAAATAAGTTTCGGGGCAAATTGTGTTTGTCTCGCGTTATCTTCGCTGATAAAAGTTTTCTGTAGTTGAAATGCGGCGAGCAGCTGGCTAAATTCGAGAACGGTTCCCAGCGAGCGGAGTGCACTAGAAATTTTTGGCCCATTCTAGGGTTTTGTTGGTCGTAAGATCAAAGGTCAATCGTACCAACGAACAAAATTGAATTAAAATTGGTAGTGAAACTAGTTTTATTTCTGTGAGTGTCCGAGATCTGGTTGGCTCCTGATTCATACGGACTGACCCATGTGAAGTTTTCGACCAATTTGACCTTTGACACTGGCCGACCCGTTACGGGGTTCAAGCCACCCCGAAAGGAGATCCTGTCAAACGGGATACGAATCGCGAAAAAGAACTTCCAGTTTTCTTGGCTAAAAGTAAACCTAAACTTTGGGGAGAATTATTTCCCATTCCCAGTTTACTATTCTACTGTAGACAGAATCATTAAGAGACTGCGATCAGAGTTCAATTGTTCAATTAGGAGTAGTCGATCGGAACTCAACTGCTGTGCGGAACTCAACTTATGAATGAATCAATGGATCATTCATTTAGCATGAATTTTCCACGCAATTACAATGGAAAGACATCATGTGGAGTGGTCCAGAAGTAAGAGTGGAGCTGGAGCTGGAGCTGGAGCTGGAGCCGGGAGCTTGGCTTGGGCAGCAGCCACTTAATCATGTTAATGGCATTAAGCAGCTTAATCGACGGCAAAGATCTAAGCCCTCGCGTCGATAATCAGCCAGCCCAGACCAGACCAGACCAGACCACCCAGTCGGTCTTGGCCCCAGACTGCAGCTTCAGTCAGACTTGGGGTACTTGGGGCCTCATCTAATTAAAAACAAAAGTCCGCCGCCTTGTAAATGTCAAGCGATTGCCACAGATCACGAACTTCTGCCTCCGTTTGCAAGTTGCAAAATCAAAATGCATTAACATCAGTGGGAACAAA